CCCCAAAACCCCAAAACCCCAAAACCCCAAAACCCCTCGGTACTAATATGTTGTTGAAATGGTAAATTTAGGCCCCAGGAAATTAAATCTAGGCATTTTTCCCAGCTAAAGGTAAAAGCAATTGCACGCAAAAATATCAACTTTGTTCTAGTATTTTCTCTAGATTTTTAAGAGACTGCTTAGGGATTATAAAGTGAATATTTTTAAACTAATGCTGCCACTTTATTTAGGAATATTGCTTAAAAATCTCTGAGAATTTCACTTTCGTCTTCATGGGCCATATCTCTACTCATTTCAAACTCATCTATGAATCTCTCGGTGACGGGAAAAGAAGTCCCTGTGCTCTGAAGGTTGGGCTTGAGTGGAAAAAGCAGCTTGAAAAGAGGATCATATCCAAGCTTAGATTTAATGTTCTGAGTTGCAGTTTTGAGATCATAAGGCGACACTTGCCATGTGGATTCCTTTTCCCGCTTCTTTTCTCAATACTCCAATGTTGTGTAGTTCGTCACTGTACAAGTTTATATTTGAGAAGATGCCAAAAAGGGTATTTAAATCCACTTTGAATAATTTCGAAATTTACTTACTTATTAATCTGAAATGGAAAATTCAAAAGCAGGTCAGGATTATAGACATCACCACTGAAAACATGAATGTAGTGCATACTACTAGCAGGTAGATATTAGAAGTAGTAACTGATGCAAGGACTCTTACAAACTCTTCCCAGTATGTGATATTGATAAACCATGCACTGATCATTCAATAATTGATCAACAAGAAGAAGTACTTGTAATTATAGAACCCTATACAGTTGTTGACCCAAGGACAGTGGTGATCCATCATAAGTGTGCAGACGTTGCAAACAGAACAGTGATGGCACCTATCAGGCTTTTTCTTCAAGCATTTTATACAGATCCTTTCAGAGCCATCCTTTTTATTCTCAAATGTTTTTGTAAAAATAGGAAAGTTTGTATCCAAATTCCTCTTGAGGTTAAAATGCCTATCAACATCAAGGTGGGATATTCTTTCATCTTCAAACGTTTTTGGAGTCTGAAGTAATTTTGGCTTTCTCAAATCTTGTCCTGTTCTAAATTGGCCCTCATATGCCCTGTTTGAATCATCATTGATAGCAGGACTAGTCTCATCTAAGTTAAATTCTTGCATTTTCTTGCGATATCTTCGTCTAATAGCTTGGGTTACATCAGACTCAACACCACAAAATATTTGTTGAGAAACCGGGTAGTTCATCTCAGACTCGTTCAATGGCTTAAAATTTGATATATTTTTGAGAATGACTCTCTTCGCTTGCCTACCCTGAAGTTCGAAGTATCTCAATTTTCCAACATTATTCAAGTAAGAATTTGGATCATTATTGCTGAAGGAAAGTTCCTTTTGGTTGTTGTTTCCATGGGATCTTGCGAAGACCTCTTCAACAGGCTGAGAACTAGCGAATATAGTCTCAGTATCTTTGATATCCCACTCTTGGGGATTATTAGTCGAACCAGGATCTGTATAGGATGCTTTGTACAACGAGAAGGAAATAAGAAACATGAAAGAAATAAAGAGAATCACTAGAATGATGAAAGTATAGACCTCTGATCTCTTCACAGATTCAGATTCTTCAGAGTTATCTCTATTTTCACTGTAGACTATTGGCAGCAGATAGGTAAGGAAGTATGAGAGCCCTATTCCGTATATCAGTAATAGAGTTGTAAACATTGGAAGACCAGCTTTAAATCTTAGGAGATAAAACACAATTCTATCTCTTAAAGGAGGTGGATTCAGGAATTCATCTGCATTAAAATCCTGTAAGAGCTGATCGATTTGAAATAGGTCTGTACCGTTAGACTCTTCTTCAACATTAAGATGCACATTTTCCTCTTCATCAATGATGCTGTCCCCTTCAGTCAGCTTTCCTTTAAAATTACGGACAGTGCTGTTTCTAGGTCTCGATCTTCTATTTCGGAGGCTTCCTAATCCAGAAGAGCTATCATCTTGATTGACAGAATAATAGTCTTGTTGACTATAACTCTCCCTGTGATCTCCAAAACTATCATCAATATTTCGGTTAGACAACGAGTCCATGAGGATGATAAAATTATTCAATATATTTATTTTACAATGGGGTTTTGGGGTTTTGGGGTTTTGGGGTTTTGGGGTTTTGGGGTTTTGGGG